AGTTTTGTTTTTAGGAACTCACGAGCAACTTCCCAGTGGGTCACCCATCATGGGATTGCTCTAGCCCCCTTCTCGCTTAACTTCGGAGTTCTTACGGAACCCGAAGCTAGTGAGCTCCCAAAAGGCCTCGTGCTAGGTAGGGATGAGAATATACATTTAAGGATCACTGCCCTAGGCGATGTGGGATCTTACAATATTTAAGACCCATCCTGGGAATGCTCTCGTGTAAGTTCCCAGAAACAAAATCGTGAGGGCGTGGTCGGAGCCCAAAGTGGACAATATCGTGCTACGGTGATGGAGCAGGCCCAGGAAGTGATCTGTCCCGGGCCGGAATGTGACAAAGAAAGAAATCCAAAAAAATCAAATCTGATCCGAAAATTTTGACCTGACTTGAGAAAAATCAAACCTGAAAATCCCAAATTATTCGGTAATCGAAACCGAACAATTCTAAAAAATTCGGTATAAAAATCGGGACTAAAGGGCGGTATGTTCGATAATACAAAACTAAACCGAAAAAAAAAATATATATATATATATAATATGTATTTGAAATATATGTGGCCGTTAGATTTGCTTGAAGTTAGATCTCAACCATTTATAAAAGAAATTAAAACTCTCTCTCAGTCTCTCTCAGAACCTCCCAAACTCTCAATCCTTCTCCTCCTAGGATGTATGGACATGGACACGGATACGGGGATACGACACAGGGACACGTCAAATTTCTAAAAATGAGGACACGATACGTCAAGGATACGGCAATTAAAAATATATATAAATAAATAAATATATCTAAAATATTATAAAATAAACATTCAAATTTATTACTCAAGTTTAAATTTATTTCAATAAACTCCAAATAGTTAGAAAGATAGTCCATCCAACAAGCAATTAGTCTTCAAACTTGAAAAATTAAAATGAACATCCAAACGAAAATTAAAAAAAAAAAAGTCTCATTCAACTTCCACATTCATGATGTCTCCTCCAGTAACTAAAGTAGTCTCCAATGACGGCTCATCAAGTGAAAGGTTAGCTATTTCAAGCATCGCGACACCTTCACCCAAGTTTTCAAAGCCATCTCCTCCAACATCCCACAATTAAGTAATACCTTCCTTGTAGGTTGAGCTATTCCTTGATAAAAGACGAAGATTATTATGCACAAATACCAAATCCTCAGCTCTTTGTGGTGTAATATTGTTCCTTCTTAAAGAGTGAATAAAACTATAAGTGCTCCAATTTCTTTCACAACAAGAGGAGGAACAAGGTTGTCCAAGTAGCTTCAAGACTATGGATTGGAGACTAGGTGTAGAAGCTCCATGGACAATCCACCACATCACTGGTTCCAATTGAAATCTATCATTCATAGAATCAATAGCTCCAAAGTCATTCAAGCACATAGAGAAAGAGGCATACTCCACATTGATATTTCTTCTAATTTCCTCATTGGAAAAGTATCTCTGAAAGCACTTTTTCCTTTCAATTGTAAGTTCAACATCGCGGTGTGGAGCAAGACGACTAGGGTCTTCTTGGAGCCATTCTGAACTATAATACCTAAAATAAAAGAAATAGCAGTTTAAAAATGTACTCATAAAGCTAAAAATTAATCTAGAAGAATTTATAAGTAAGTTAGCAAAATCATTACCTTGGATTTAATGAATGTGCCAAACAATGAAGTGGTGTGCTACTTTTGGTCCATCGCTCCAATAAAATGCGATACACCACATCAAAAAGCTGCTTTTTTCATGTAATGCCTTGCACTCATTCCTGCATATAGCAGCTTTCACATTTTCAATCATAGCATCCTACCACTTATACACCAAGTGAAGACAAGGTTTATCTATGTCAGCCATTATAATAACCTCATATATTGGAGCTGTAAAGAAAAGAATATAATCAATCTTCTCCCAAAAATCCTCATCCAATATCTTTTGCTTCACCATCATTGCTTTAACCAAATCATCTTCTTTGTACAAAGCCCAATTCGGGCTAATCACCATTTGTTGTAAACCTTCCTTTATTTCCTTAAATCTTCTAAGCATCACAAGTGTGGAAGCAAATCTGAAAATTTAAAAATTAGGACAACTTATAATTGAATAAGGAAAAAAAAAAGTGGAGAAAACAAAGCAATGGAAAGTAACTTTAGTTTGCAATGTTCATTAAACATGGACAATCTCATGCTATGGTTCATAATAAAAAATTTTATGGACCAAGCATCACTCACAATAGTTGAAATCCAATTGCAGTCCTCATACGAAACTTCTGTTTGTTTCGGAGAACATATACTCTTTAAAGCAAGATTAAGAGTGTGAACAACACAGGGTGTCCAAAAGATATGGGGATAGTGGGCCTCAATAAGTAACCCAGCAGTTTTACAAACAGGGGCATTATCAGTGATCACTTGAACAACATTTTCATGACCAATTTCTTTAATAGCTTCTGTAAGAAAGTTAGCAATACAATGCTTGTCTTTGTATTCACCTTCACAATTAATTGCTCTCAAGAACATTGGCCCACTTTCACAAGTTGCCATAATATTAATAAGTGGTCTCCTTTGAGCATCTGTCCACCCATCACTGCAAACACTTACACCTTTAGTGCTCCATGTGCGCTTGATTGGTTGGAGGCACCGCTCAATGTGACTATTCTCTTGTTGCAGAAGAGTAGTTCTCAGTGCGTTGTAACTTGGTGGAACATACCCTGGAAGTGTAGAAGCACGAACATATAAGTTCCGATAGTGCGGATTTCTTGCAAGGTTAAATGATAAGCCACTTGTATAAAACATCCTTGCAACTTTGGCATCACATTGATCTCGAGCCTCCTTGTTAAAAGCTTTACTGAGAGGCCCACTTGTTCCCTTTCTCTTCTTTGGATCAAGATTTGCTTCAGGTAGATCATAACAGAATGAACCGGTATTAGGCAACGAAACATGCTTAGGAGCAAAACTCTTCAACTTGTATTCACACTCTCGAACTAACTTATTCATTTTCGTAAGAGTTTCATCAGTAACCTTGTTGCAAGGTGCGATCCCCTTTCCAGACATTTTTAACAAATGAAACTTGACCCTAGAGTAGGATCCTGTATAAGATTTATGACAATAATTGCACTCAAATTCAGTATTTCCTCCTCCTTTATTTCCCACTTTTTTGAGCTTTTTGACATACTTCCACAGCGGAGCATTATAATTTTCAACAATCTCATCTAGATTAGCATTATCATTCACATGATTATCAGGGTGATTCATTTTCCTAAATTAACAAACATACAAACAATAAGAGTCAATTCATCGTATAGACAGAGACTAATACATGAGAAATTTATATTAACTTAAGAAATAAAAAATACATCATAAAAGCACAATAATATCTAGACCACTGTATTATAATCTAAATATCATGAAAGCACAATAGTATATTATAATATAATATATAAAATACAATAATAATATTATATACAAAAAGCAAAAGGACTTTTAGCTTTTCCAATCTACATAACAGATAAGCTAAAGATCACTGAATCAGTCAAAACAAAAAGGCCTTTTAGCTTCGAAATTAAAAACAGAAAAGCAGGCTTTCCTTTCAGTTTCAGAGATGGGTTATGGGAATTAAATTGAGCTTCAAAATTAAAAAAGTAAAAACGAAGTCGAAAGCTCTCACCAACAATTGCAGACAGAGACGATGAAGACGACGAAGCAGTTGGACTGATTACATATGTAAAATGTCAAGGAGTCGAGTTTTACTCCTTCGGAGATTAGATTGGGCTGATTGGTTGAAATGGATTTGGGAGATTCGTGGCCCTTTATTTTGGATCGCATTATAGGTTTGCTCCATAAAATTTGGGCTCAACTTTGTATCAACTGTTTGGGCTTCATAAACTGTTCTTTCAGCCCATAAGAAGAGGCTTATTTTGCTTATAGACATTATGGTTGAAAACAAATTGGCTATGTTAGGATAATTTTTTTTACGCATTTATATTTAATCATTTTCATTTTTTTTATTTGATTTATTTAACCTAATGATGAAAAATAATAGGTATGTGAGAAATAGAAAAAAAATATGTGAAAATCAACTTTTCTTAAGAAATCATTACCATCGTAATTTAGTATTACGGTCTAATGATATTCTTCTTCACTTGTAAGTGAGAGGTCTTAACCGTTCGATTCTCGCCAAACGTGAGTTTGAACCATATTATTGCTAGCCCATTGTGAGGATAAGCCCACCCTTTCCCGCATTAGTATAGATAATATCATTTGTTCAAAAAAAAAAAAAGTCATTACCATCATCTTTTGTATGATTAATGGTTAAGAGTAAGAGACTGTTTGCTAAATATTTTGTTTTAAGATTTTAATTTTTTTAATTTTTAAACAAAAAATAATAACTGAAAATAATTATTAAATAAAGTTTTAATTCCAAAAAAAATCTAAACTAATAATTAAATATTTATAAAAATGGACCCCAAAATTTCAAATGTTTTTAGTTTTCAATGTGTCGAAGTTATACTATGAGGAAATACAAAAATATTATTCTTATTATCTATTTGTACAATAATTCTTATTGAAATGAGATTCACAAGCATTGAAGAGCGGGCAGCTCCACTTTTATTAAAGAGATGATATAAGTAATAATACAATATATTGTAAGTGTAACATTACTCTGAAAAAATAACTATTGATTTGTTTTTATTTTTATGCAGAGAGTATATCTGTTTTCTAACTATTTATAATGGTGAATGAAAAAATGGGTAAGAAAAAAGAGTAGAGGGAGATAGATTGTATGCCCTCCTGTTTGAATGCCCTTCTCATCACCTCCTCTTTGTGCGGTCACGATTAAGCCACGTCAACATTTTATATTTCTATTACTTTTTGTCTTATTATATTTATAAAAAAATTAATATAAAATATTAACATAACTTAACCGTGACCGTATAAAATAAGTAGTGATAAGAAGGACATCCAAACAGGAGGGAAGATAATCCGCCTCCGAGAGTAGAGGGGCGAACACTGCACCACTAAAAAAGAACTAATTATTAATTTCTAACCAAGCAATTGGGCGTTGCCCATCCCTTTCAGGCTTTCAGGGACAGGAATCAAGTCCAAATTCTTCTGCCTCCTCCCCAATCGGATAAGATGAACAACAAAATTTAAGTAAACGCCCATTTCCCTCTCAGATTCCTGCTCCCCTATAAAGCCCATCTCTCCATTTCATTCCCTTTTTCGGAAACTCTCAGAATCCACGCGCCACACACTCAAAAGCCTCAAGCTTTTGTTTTTCGATCCCAAAGAAGGAAACAACAACAAAAGCAACCAACAATTATTTTTATTTTATTTTATTTTGGAGGACTCGAGTCAATCGTAATATTGATTGGCAGCCACGAATTTTGGGCTGGGAGGAGAATCAAAAGCCTCGACCTTGAAGGAGTTTCGAAAGCGATTCGGGAAGTCACTCTCTGCAGTTGAAGATTGTGGATGGAATTGAATCAATTACTTGGTTAGTTTTTTATTTTAATTTTTTTTTCTCTTTATTTGTTTGTGGCTGTTGATTCGTTTGAGAGGAAGAGAGAGATGGATTTGGCTGCTTCTGTGAATTGACTGATTGTGGCCAGCTTTTGCAGCATATTTATTTTGTTTTTCTTCGTAATTTTGCAATATTCTCTTGCAAATATTTCAGAATTCAATTTGGTTTCAGTTCGTTTGCTTTCCTTTAAAGTTTTACGAAATTACGAATTGGATTTGAAGATTGAGGATTTGAATTGTTCAATTCTTGTTTAATTCCAGGATCTGCTGGCTGGTCTTCCTGTTTTCATCCTCTGGTCAAATAAATTGTGTGTAATTTTATTTTATTTGTTTGAAGACTATGTTCATGCAGTGAAAAGCTCTAAAATTAATCTGTAAATTTGGATGGCAAATTGATTGAATTGCTATACTTTTAGGCTAATATAAATGGGAAATGATATTTGCACAGTTTTATTCTCGTTTTGCACACTCGTGTTTATTTATGTTCTTTGATTTATATTCGAAGGCTATTAATATACAAGGGTGTGCAGACGGAGAAAAGGCGTGTGTGCGGAAATTACTTTCCATATAAATGTTTCATCTTTCTATGAGTTAGATTTGTGTTTGTTCAAGATAAGAGTGGGCATATACCTTTTGTTTTCAGTTGTGAGATTGAGTTCTTTTTTCCTCAATCTATGGGTTTCTAACTTTCTGTTTCTAAAAATGGGGTGTTTTTTTTCCCCTTACAAAAATCCCGTTTTACCGGGCAAAGGCAAACTATTCTTGATTATGTGCTGGTTTAATGGATTTGAGTTTGACCATCCGGGTTTCTGGTTTTTTCCTCCTTTGTTTGTGATTATCTGAACCGAAAATATTCTGGTTATTTCTTCACAGGTTTCTTATGCCAGTCTGAGTTCAACTTGTGTGGTTCCTACTGCAATGACATTGCCGTTTTGATCAATATCGAGGGATTTCAGTGAGGATTGCCCTCCTAAATCATGGATGGTTCAAATGAAGTTTCAAGCAATGGTAAAGTTGAGAATCATGCCCTCCAGATTATAAGATACTCTCCTTACCGGCCCTGCGGTACTTTCCTTACCGGCCCTGCAGTAAAGTACCTTCATCTTGGTTTGATTTGAGAGTCTTCTATGTGAGGATCAGTAACTTTAAGGTTGATGATTCGACCCCAAAGTTTCTGACTCTCCATCATATTCCTGTAAGCCCGGATACCCTTTTGGAAGTCAATGGTGCTAAAACTAGCATTCACTCTGAAGGTGTTTCTTCACATCTTAGAAGGGATCAGGTAGATAAGAAATCTGAAGAGGCCACATTTGTGAATACAGACAGTATAAGGTTGACCGGGAGCGTGAGATTTGAGGTGTATGACAAAGATGATCTCATCCTCTCTGGGGTGTTAGAGATGTCTAATAGCAACGGTTTCGTTGGGGAATCAAAAAACAATGTCAAGCGATGGAGCATGAATTGTGAATCAGATATCAGTGCCTGCACTGGATTTTTGAAGGGGAAACATCTTGGTGGCGCTGAATTAACTGCACCAACCATTGAAGTTTACATCACAGGGTGCTTCTCTGGCACACCGATCATCTTAACCAAGACCCTGCAGCTTCATTTTAGAAAGAAACACAATAGGAAGAGCACGTTGGGTGCAATACCGGAGTACGAGACAACCGAATGCCAGAAAGATGTCTCTCCTGGAGTTGATATGGAGGTACATATTGAAACTTTTTTTTTGTATTGAAAGATTGAAACTCAAATTTTGTTATGTTCACTTCAGTGCTTTGCCATAGTTGCATTTATCTGGATCTTAGGGTAGTGTCGGTATATGGATGTTGTAAGGCGCCTGTGTTCATCTAATGCCTCACTCTAGGGTCAGTTTTCGTTTGTTATAAGGCGAAAAATTATTTGAAGCTTTATTTGCAGTCATTGCAGTATTTGATATAAAAAATTGGACAATGCATCGGTGTCTGTTTCCGTGGATGACTAGATTTACATGCTTTAATCCAAACATTCGAATCTAGTGGTCCATAAAACCAGTGAATTCCGCACACCAGTGTACTGTAGGACTCATCCAACGAGACGTGGGGATGGTCCGTCGTTGCAGGCCCCACCTTCTGCTGGGTTGTTGTAGACAATATTCTGAAGGTTATATTGGCACCGTTTTATTATCTTTGGGATCTTTGTAGGATGGTTGTCTTAATTTACCCTGGTTAAGATGGCATTCATGAATTTGTTCTGTTGGTTTATCTCTTGCGTAAAGAACGAAAGGTTAACTTACTAAGGGGTATAATTAGTCATCATAGCATCTTTCATTTGTTATAGTTCATATCTCTGTTATTTATTCTTCGGTTGGGATTGTACGTTTTGGGATCCCCCAATTTGTTATAGTTCATATCTCTGTTATTTATTCTTCGGTTGGGATTGTACGTTTTGGGATCCCCCAACCTTTCTTGAATTGCAGGTAGCAGAGTACAGAAACTACAAGCCGGAGAACGAGGACGAGTACAACAATATGTACTGGAGGAGGACGGAATATATGGATGGTGAAGAAGGAGAACTCTCATGGTTCAATGCTGGTGTGAGAGTTGGCGTGGGTATCGGACTTGGCGTTTGTCTTGGAGTTGGCATAGGGGTCGGTTTGCTGGTCCGCACTTACCAAACGACCACGCGAACTTTCAAGAGACGCCTGTTGTGATGTCAATGTGTCTTGTGTGCTCAATCTCGAAGGGCAGCTAACCTCGTCTACGTTTAACGTGCATCTCTAACGACAGATTTTGACTGACAGTTTATATGTCTCGCATTCTCTGTTGTTTCCTCCATAAACTCTTGGTGAGAGGTTTGTTTAGAAGGAGAGTGTGATAGAAAGAGAGAGAGTCTTTGATAGAAAGAGAGACAGTCTTTGATAGAAGGAGAGTATATAAATGGTAAAATATTGTATTTCGTTGTAGTAGATAACATCTCTTTCCCCAAAGCTAATAAAATTCGATTTAATAAATTTTATTTCTGGCTATCAGACTAAATGCGGATATCAGGAGAGAAAAACAGTGCACGTATTCAAGCTCAGGCACAAGAAGACGGTGAAAAATGAAGGTTTTGCAAACAAGTGCTTCAGAATTTTAATTACGCCTTGTCTGATTGGTCTCACTCACATCACAGCTGATGAGATATTTATAAAAAAAACCAATGCCACATTGCTAATTCTTTTTGAAAGATATCAGAATGCTAATTTGTTTTCTTAATGATAATGTAGTCACTAAACATGTTTAGTATTAAGGTAATCTCTCACTAGGGCACTCTCAGGTGCCTGCAAGGTAATCTCTCACTGGATCGTAGCTTGCAGGCTTACAGCAACATCTCAACCAGTTAGTCCGTCTCACTTATTCTCATATACTTTAGGGTTATCAGCTCCTGCTATGGAGGATTCCGGTGCTTAATCACGATCATGCGCTGAGAGTAGGGGCGGGAGACTCAGCTGGCTGCCGGTGCAAGGCTCACTGGCTCTGGAACCACCTCGGCTCCAGAACGCCCATTAGCCCAATGTGGTGGTTTGTCATCGGGGCACCAAAATGCAGCTGATTTCACATCATCTTGATTCATTAGTTTCGAGAATACCTCGTGATCATAGTTTAGTATGGCTGGTCCTCCAAACTCAATAGGGAGATTTTCCTCGTCGAAACATTGTTTCATAAGCTCCACGCTTTCTTTGTTCTTCGGGTAAACAAACTTAACCTTGTGGAATGTCTTGTTGTCCAAGAAATACTTGACAATCTGCATCAACAGAACAGAACAATCTCAGATTCTCGATTCGATTATCTATCATCAATTTGAGTAACTACTAGATTATAACAGCACAAACCGCACGACCCCTGATTCTTTTGGCAGAAGTAATGTTCAATGAAGCAAATAGGAAGAACAGAACTCAAACCTTCCAAAATGCTTCGAAAATGCGTGGGGGATTGTAGAGAAATGCTACTGCTAGTCTCTCAGGGTAGTGGTTCTGTAAAATGTTGATGGTGTCTCGAGCCGATTTCACAGGCACGGTAGTACTTAGCGTCCACCCTGTGAAGTCTATCAGCCACGCCATTTGTTCTTGGCCCTCCGGAAGGTTGAACACAGCATTCTCAATCAGATACACCAGATGCCGCATCTGATTGTCTATTGATACCGTGTTCTGGAACATTTCCAGTAGCATTAATCTTCGCCCTAGTGAATGCTCAACGAATCAGAAATACAAAACGACAACGCTTAATACCTGCATTCCCCGTCTCAGTATAAGAACAGTCCTCCCACTACGATCGCGAAAACTTGCTCTGTAAACTTTCCCAGTCTCGCCTTCACATGCAACTTCGCGCTGACAACACAGCAATCACATCAACACTCAGCTAGAAATGTAAGCATCAGAAACAGAGAACATTGTAAAAAGTAAAGCAATTTTACCCAGCGGATTTCCTCAGGCTTATAGGTTGACCTCCATTTGAGTGTTTCCTCCAACATTTTCTTCGCCTTGTCAAGGTTCCAATTTCGCGCCTCCAAGTACCGCCTGAAGCATGCATCAGTGCAGAACTGCAAACTGCGTCCAGATAGCGGTCCAATCGCAGCCTTCAGCTCATTGATCTGCATATATATTGCAATTCATGAACTCAACTAAGAAAGATTTTTTCACATTTCCTTGAAGACTTGTAAACTTCAAACTTTTTCAATACCTTAGCGTCATGGTTCAAGGGATCGTTCTCTTGCTGATGAGAAGTGCTCCAGAGGCGAAACATGTCCACAGAGTTTTCGATATCAAAATCTTTCGCAACTGAGTGCAGCTTCACCTACAACATCAAGCATTCACCCAGCAACTTAATAGCTGCTCGTTTACTGGACTTGCATGAAACAGCGACGCCAAACGTCACAAGGCGTAGAAAATGATAAATAAATGAGGAAAAATCACGCAAACTGCGGTGTTAGATCAACCAACCAAACGCAATCTTAAAAGTCAAACAATCAAACAGTCCATGCTCCAGAAGAATTGAACATTGTTAACTATCCAGATCTTGGGCCCCACAAACAGAAGAACTACAAGAACTCAGAAATTTTCTAGCAATTTAATTTTCATAGGAAAAATGAAACAAAAACAAATTAAAAACATAAAAACCAAGCACATAGCATGAGCAGAGAGTGTTCATTGCTACCTGGAAATCCAAAGCCTCCAACCTTGCCAACTGCTTGCCCCAGAGAGAGAGAGAGAGAGAGAGAGAGAAATGTGATGACCTTTTGTAACAGTAGCACGAGATACAAGTGAAGAAAGAAGATAAAAGGGGAAAGACTGACGCTTTTTGGAGTTCCTCAGTGTCCTGATTTGGCAGGTCTTCCAGATATTTTGGTCTCCCCTCCCCTCCCCTCCAGAGAGTTTGTGTGTGTGTGTGTGTGTGAAGTGCAATCTCTTAGGCTCTGCGCTTTCCTTTTTCTGTATTTTTCCTGGCGGCAGAGCCACCGCCTGCTGATATTTCGAGCGATGACGAGCGGCAAAACCCACTCCCACGTGTTTTTTTTTTCACGCACTTAATATTTGCACGTGTGGCCTTTGAAGAGAGAATCACTGTCTTGGGTCGATGCCGCTCAACGTGGCGGATTATTAAGTGACGATATTCTTGGAACATTGCAAGTTGCAACCGGGGAATATTTAATAGGAAAACGGAAAGAGATGCCGAGGAAAAACGAAAAAGATGAATATATTCTCTTTATTAATAAAATGAAACTTTTAGTACTACGAACTGGATAGTTTTTATTTTTAGTGAAAAGTTTTAAATTCAGTTTTTACTAAAGACGAATTTTAATCATATTAATATTAATTTATTATGAAGCTTAGCTCACTTGCTCATTCTTTTAATATAGATAATCAATTTTTTCTCTTTATTTTTCAAACATCACCCACATTGCCATGGTAATATCTTTAATTAAAAAATATAAAATAAAATAAAAATTACATTTCTATACGATAGTTTTTGTTTTACTTTTTATATATACATGTGTGAGCTGTATTTAGTATTAGGGAAAGTAAGAAATGACTTTATGACATGGGTTTTTGGGTTTACAGTCACAACACATTTAAACCGTAGGGTTTGTTACTTTCACCAGCCCATTGGGTTTGCTACATTTTCCTTGTTGATGAAGTGCATGAACAAATCGCAAAAATGAAGAAACATAAACAAATAATCATAGCTTACATGAGAGGAAAAACAGATTAAACAAATCATCTTCCGAGGATTAATTTGATAAAACTCGGCTTTTTACACTTAAGAAGTCATTCTCTTGCACACAAACCAAACACACATATCATATTCAAAACAAATAAACTTCAAGAAAAAGGTAGCCGAACCTCGTCAACACATGAACTTTCCATGTATTCTAATTCCACCCAACATTACACTAATTTCACTTGATGTAAGTTTTTCCAATCAAACAAATTTACCGAAGTTTTATTGGCACATTAATCTTCCATCCAAATATAGATCCAAATAGTGTGACTTACATAGAGGAGGAAAAGTAAAACCAGTGAGTCGGCACCACCATGTCCCAGTGGTGAACGTATTCGATAAGCGGTGGGTGCTGCATCGTCCAACTTGCAAGTGCCGAGCCAATGTCAAAGGAAATCGAAGACATGCCCACCTACACCATTTTTCCCCATTTGATACTACTGGAGCATTCTGCCAACCGACCCGAACTTGTACCTCAACTGCTGATTTCCTCTCTAAACTATGGAAGAAGATCATCTTCAGATCTACTTCGTGAGGGTCTTAAGAATTCTCACATTCTAACCGTTCATCGTATATTGTGCAGTCATTTTTTATCAGATACTATTTACGTTTAATTTTAAATGAAAAAAATTAAATAATTTTTGAACGCACTATACACGATGAATGACTACGATGTGAGGATCCCTAGAATCCCCACAAAATGAATCTGAATGGGATCCAATTCCCTAAACTATTACAAAAGGATCATATAAACTAGTCTCTACAAGTCATTACTGCGGTTTGAAGTAATGGTATGGAAAATGCATGTGTCATCTTACGAAACAAAGCCAACGGAAATAGGCGCCAAATAATACAAGCCTAAATGCTTTATTTCTGATGTCACTGGGAATCATCCAACAAAAGATGCGATAAGCTCAAAAGGAGCTTAAGAGACTATCAGCAGTTTTCTTCGTATGTATCTATATATCATTCACCAAACTTGAATACTGAAAATAGATGTATACATACTAAAGCATAAATGAATACTGAGCAACAACATTTTACGGAATATGAAAGATCTTCAAGGGTTACAACATAATGTAGCAACATTTATCGTTATATTAAAATGTAACATGATATAGCGTACAAAACCAATTGCAACCAACAGAACCCTAATTTGTTTCTATACATCACTAGCTGAACCGAACCCTTGTAGATTTTTCTTCACGTAGTTTTTAAAGTGATAGAATCAAATAAAAACTAAAGAAAAAAGCTTGAAACTTTGAGTTTTAACGATAATGACAAAATAAAGAGTAAAGTGAATAGTATCATGATTGACTTTTTAGTGTAAAAATATGATTTTCGTTAAAATTCCCTAGAATCAATTATGTAACTGCATTTGCAGGTAGTCATTGAGTATAAGTTAATTGAGAGCTGCAATTTTAATTATTAAGTAACGAATCGAAGTTAGTACCTCTCCGTGTAGCCAAATCGGAATCCGCCTTCTCCATGTTAGCTAATTGAAATTGGCACGATATGCAAGCATATAGACCAGAATGCAGGAAAAATAGAACAGAAAGAACGAGAGCACAAACATTTTTTTTTTCACAGATTCTTTCCTTGTGTCCCTCGGTCAGCCTAGATCCATAATTTCATCAGACTTATATACTTATATTATATGGAAATTCATCTTCACCGTCCCTTATGGAAATTCATCTTCACCGTCCCTCGTAATCATCACAACCGGGTCAACTACCAAATCCGATCCAGTGGACAATACCGGGTAATCGACTGAAAGCAACAGTTACCAATAAAACGATATGAGAAAATCAGTCAACAAACATAGCCAGCTAAGAACAAGCAGCGTAGGGATAAATTTAAGCGGATTGATCACATACCTTGACGGATTGATGAGAAATGAACCGCCAGATTTACCTTGGTGGTTCCAAGTCCGTAGATATCACGGCAAGGAATATGAACCAGGGAGAGAGATAGGGAGAGAAATATGACGTTTACATAATTTTTTTGTACTAGATTCGAGACATGCCACCTAAACCACAAATTATGTAAATTGAGCTTCCCTCCAGATAAGTTGCATAGACAAATTGAATAGGTATTTCGGTTCTTTTATTGCAAACTCCAGCTGAATGAAAATTTCAAAAGTAATGAAATAAAATATTGAAAAGATACGAAGAATGACGATGTGCCCAAACCACGTCACCCAATCTTGCACAAATTTCACCTAGTCATACAACTTTACTGAAGTTTTCTCGGTAGATTAATCTTCCATCTGGATATAGAACCAAATAGTGTGATTAATATGGAGGAGGAAATGTAAAACCAGGGAGTTGGCATCACTTTGTGGTGGACTTGTTCGATAAGTGGTGGGTGTCTTTACGCAAACCAACAACACAACACAACTATTGGAAAAATTTCACAAGCAATAGCATCAGTGGGTTAACATGTTAATTGTAAGAAGAGAGAGAGATTGATGAGGATCGAATCTTCACCAGAGTTCATAAGCATAATTCTCGTCGCTAGGGTAGAACATCATTTTATTAAAATATTATTAGTTTTTTAATAATAAAATAAAATTATTATTTTAAATTTTTGACATTTATTTTATTTATAAAAAAATATTATTAATTTCTGACATTTTATTTATTTATTTATTTAATTTTTTCGTCGAAAAATTTGGACCGTTGATCTGAAAATCTAACGGTCCAGATTGTGTCACGTCACTAGCCGTTGGGTTTGAATTTCAAATTTTTTTAATTGTTGGAAATCCAACGGCCTAGAAAACTAGCCGTAAAAAATCCAACGACCGAGGCTTAGCCACGTGGCCCATGTCCCGTGCCCTTTTAGTGCGCTTGCAGCGTGGGCCCAGCGCTTGTCACCTTGTCGGGGACGCACAGCCACGCGTGCGTGTTTCCCACGCGCCTGACACAAAAAAAAAAAAAAAAAAATTATGTTGCCCGCTGACATCATGCTGATGTCAGCATGATGCCAGATAGGCCGGTTCCTACCTTAACCCATTTTGGATCAGCCTACAAACTGGCTTGAACTTTGGGCTTGCCTATTTTTAAGGTTTGAGGGGTTTTTTTGGGTGCCAGCCTAAAAGATATGGCTGGAGTTGCTCTTAGGTCATCTTGATGGGCTATACCAAATTTTTTGGAAGCATTGCAATAAAAGGGCAATTTGCCATTTATTTTGGGTGATTGACTCAATATTTAAACTCATCCAACTGTGATAAATGTGGTGGTGAGTATTAGCATTACTTTAGTATGATGAGCAAAAATATTACCATTTATATTCAAAGTCTGACATTTCTGGTAAGTCTTTTTTTATTTTAATTCCAATTTTTTATTTTTAACAAAATTAGGTTCTCATCCCTTTTTCTTCTATTTTATTAAATAAACTCTTATTTCTTTGTAATTTTTTATAAAGGAGCGCATCTGGAGATGGAGTTAGCGAGCCAGCAAGAAAGTACTGCGTACCAGCAATAGTACCAGTTTCAGCAATACATTTCTTGTATAACCCAGGCAATGACAACCTTTGTCATTCGCTTCCCCGATCTTCCCAGTGACTTTTAGTTGCCATCCATCGAACCACTGCAATATTCGTAGTTAGTTTAGGATTTCTTGTATACATTTGTACAAATATTTTTCTAATCGAATTAAATAAATTGTTTAGTAGTGATTTTTTTTAGATTAATACATTTTCAAAAATAAAATAAAATAAACTGATTGTAGAAATATTTTCGTCGAGCAAAATAATATAAATATTTTATTTATGGAAACCCAATGAAATAATGGCGTCATGAGTTTGGTCCGTCAGGCCAACTTGGTCAACGCATTTTATTCGACAAAATATTATCATCGAGCGAGTACCATTTGCACAACGAATATTAAAATGTCGTCGGACAAAATTTGTAGCGACACCCTTTGTGGGACCAAATTTCCTTGACAACTTTTCGTTGGCAAAATCTTAAGTGATGAAATCCTACTTAGCTTGAAGAAAACATTTCGCCTGTAAAGGTCCTTTTTTTGTAATGAACGCATTAGAGTACAAGTAAAGAAAGTACAAATGTACAAAAAATAGAACACTCAGCGCCCAAGGAATCATATTTAGGAAATAAACATTCATTAACGGGAAACAAGCCATAAGTTTTTTTACTAAAAGTTATGAAATTAGTTTGATTCAAACTTTATGACTTTACAAAGGTTTTATTGTAAATTCAAAGGAGCGCAGCGGTTGAAAAAAGAAATTTCAACTTAATGACTTTATAGAGGTTTTGTTGCAAATTCAAAGAAGTACAACGACTTAAAAATAATTCAAAATTGGGGACTGTTTACCGTGTGGGGAATCTATTCATTAATTTTTGTGGTGTTGTGTCGCTGGCAGCAATTAAAGTGAAGAAATTG